GTGAGTGAGCCTCTTTGCCATCTGCCCTTCCTCCTGATCAAGATGAGAGCATCCCATATTGGAAAGTGACAGTGATGCGAGGGCGGGTGGAGGGACATCCCAGAATCAACATGTTGTGAGCCAGAGATTTAGGAGTGACCTGAAAGCATACCTTCTGAACATCTTATCTACTTTCACATTCAAGGCTTGAATTCTGAAAGGTCACACAGTGCTATGTTCTGCCCTGTGCCTTGTGCTTTACCTCACTTAGGCCGCTCACTGCCCCCCTGTCCCAGACAGATTTTCTCCCTCTTTTTTGGCTGTGTCCCATCAAAATTTACCTGTCCAGTGTCCAACCCCCATGAAGTCCTTGCCGATGGTGGGTGCTAGCTAGCTAGCTTCATCCATTCATCCATCCACCTATCCATCCATCCATCCATCCATCCATCCATCCATCCATCCATCCCCGTATTTACTAAACGGCCTACAATGTATGAGACTCAGCACTGCATGTGGGGAATTTAATATGAAGTTGGTGGGAAAGTACAGTTGGACAAACAGGTTCATCTTTGTCGTGGCACAGTCACTAACTGGCTGTGTGACCTTGGGTGGGTCAGTTTCCTTTTCTGAACCTGTTTCCCCATCTACAGATTGAGGGGTTTAGACTAGAATAGTGTTTTCCAAACTCGACTGATCATAATAGTCACAGGAGTGCTTATTAAAAGTAAAAATCCCAAGCCCCTCTCCTCAAGAGTTGGATGTAGAAGGCCCAGTGTCCATTCCTAGGTTACATTCTTATAGTAATCTTAACTTAAATGCACAGACCCGGGTGTAAAACTCTTATATGCAAAACTCAGAACCTTTCTTCCACCTCCAGGCCTAGTTGTCCCTTCTCAGTCCCCCAACACTCCCCTGCCCTCCAGCACTGATGTTCCACCCCCATGGCCACAGGAGAGGTCACACCTGTTGGGGTGGGGAGCATGAAATCAGGAGAGCCTTCACAGAGGAAGCTGCATCTGATATGGACCTCTAGAGATTGGGGCAGGATTCCCCCGGAAGAGACAGAGGGAAAGAGTTTCCAGAGACAACGTTTCTGTGCAAAGACAGAGATGGTGCGCAGGCGCAGAGCATGGGCTCATGTGTTGGGGACAGAGTTCAAATCAAGCTCTGGCTCTAACTGCCTCTCCCCATGGCCCCCAGCCATCTTCTGTGTCAGTGTGAACTTCACACACACACATTTATGCATGCATGTTCATATTCTCTTTCTCTCTCCCGTGCCCCATATATGCTCCCTGGCAAATAGGCCTTTCTCAATTGCCTTTCTCAATTGCAATTCTCCTGTATCTCTGGGCAGACATGTTCCACCCCTCAGTGGATGTAACTGGTAGAACCCTTCCTCCCTACCTTACTGCACAGGTACAATTGCCTAGTGGGCAGTGGGCAGTCATTCCCCACTCCCCAGTCTCCTGTCATGAAATGGCTACCAGTTCTCCCCAAAAACTATGCTTGTTGTGTTTTATCTCTCTGGTTAGGGACTCATTGTGGGTTACTTTGTTAGTCTGATCTCCTCAAATGCCATCTCCTTATAGAAGCCTTCCTTGACTACCCTTTTTAAGGTAGCATTGACCTGTGACTATCTGCTGATACTGCATAATTTTTTTCATCAGTACTAAAATATTATATTTTTAACTCTTTATTTGGGAATAATTATAGATTCACAGGAAGTCATGAAGCCAGTACAGACATCCCTGTGTACCTTTGACCCTATTTCTCCCAAGGGTTGCATCTTACATAACTAAAGTACCATATCAAAACCGGGACATTGACACCAATACAACGTGTGTGTATGGTTCAGTGTCAGTCTGTCTGTTGGTTCATGTATCCACCAGCACAGTCAAGATACTGGACATTCCTATCACTAAAAGGACCCCTCACATTGCCCTTTTACAGCCAAACTCACCCCCCCCACCAACCCCAATCCCCGTCAACCACTAATCTGTTCTCCATGTCTGTAATTATATCATTTCAAAAATACTATATAGGGGTGCCTGGGTGGCTCAGTCGGTTTAGCGTCTGGCTCTTGATTTCAACTAAGGTCATGATCTCACAGTCATAAGATCAAGTCTCGCGTCAGGCTCTGCACTGGGTGTGGAGCCTGCTTAAGATCCTCTTTCTCTCTCTCTCTCTCTCTCTCTCTCTCTCTCTCTGCCTCTCTGCCCCTCTGCCCCTCTGCCCCTCTCCCCCACTCACACTCTCCTCTCTAAAATAAAATGAAAATTAAAAATATTATATAAGTGGGATAATATAGTATGTAATCATTGGGATTGGCTTTTTTAACTCAGCACAATGCCCTTGAGATTCATCCAAATTGTTGCCAGTGTCAGTAGTGTGTTCCTTTTTATTGCTGAGTAGTAGTCCATGGTGTGGATGTCCCACAGATTGTTTAGTCCTCCATCCAATGAAGGACATCTGGGCTATTTCCAGTTTGCAGCTAATACTAATAAAGCTGCTATAAACATCCGTGTACAGGTTTTTTTGTGAGCATAAGTTTTTATTTCTCTGGGATAGATGCCCAAAAGTGTGACTGCTGGGTTGATACATTAAGTGTATGTTTGTTAGTAAGCTGCCAAAGTATTTTCTGGAGTGGCTGTACCAGTTTACATTCCCATTAAATATCATATATATACATACATACATATATATGTATGTATATATATGTATGAGATATATATCTTGTTAGAATGTCTGCTCCTCAAGGATAGGGACTGTGTTTTGTTCACTGCCATATCCCCCAGCACCCGGAACCTGCCAAAGAAGGAATAAGGGAAACCCAGCTTCCAGCCATCACAGCAGCCTAAACTAAACTCAAGTGTCCAACCTTTGGTGCCGAATGAAGAGCCTAACACTCCCTCCACCTCTGTTCCATCTCTCATCCCAGTGCTCCTAACACCCCTTTGCCCTCTAGATCTCATGTCCCCACTGTCCTATCCCATGGCCTCTTTGCTATGACCAGGCTGCTTTCCTTCTCCTCCTGGGACATATCTTAGTTCTTACTACCCTGCAGGCTTCTGTCCTCGTACTAGTCTGCACCTCTTCTAGTACATGTCTGTTTCCTTTAAGACCTGGCTTGAGACCTTTCCAAACACCTTTGCCTTACTAACCTCAATAAGAGTCTCATTTGTTCATCCATTCAGCAAGCATTTATTGAATGTCTACTGTTCCAGGTGCTCTTCTAAACTGGGAACATAGCAGTACATGGGAGAAACGTGGTTCCTACCCTCATAGAGCTTACACTCTAGTATTGGCCTCGTGCTTTCTAAACCCTTGGAGCAGAGACATGAGCACGTACACACAGGGGTGATAGTCAAAACAATTAACCTGTACAGTAGGAGCCATTCGATCAGAATGTAAGCCAGCCAGAGTCTTGGAGACCTTCTACTGTGCCAGGCATTAACTGTTCAGTTGACCATTTGTAAAGAGGTCCCAGGGGAGAGGTCAGGTGGCACCCAGGAAGCTTAGGGCAGTGGCTACTTACCAATCAGTGTGAAAGAAACCCTGAATATTTTACAACAGGTATGGCCATACCAGTGTATCCCAACTGAAGGTCAGCCTTACGTATGTGTACAATCAACCCTCATTATTTGCAGATTCTGTATCTGCAAATTCACCTACTCCTTCTAATGTATTTGTAACCCTAGAATCAATACCCACGGTGCTTTCCTGGTCATTTGCAGACGTGTGAAGAACATGAAAACATTTGAGTCTCCCAATGTACACATTTCCAGTTGAGGTCAAATAAGGCAACGCACTGCCATCTTGTTTCAGCTGTCACACAGAGGTATCCAGAATATAGAGATGGCAGGGATCAGTGCAGTGTAGTGCAAGAAGCTCAGTCTGTAGAACAGTTGGATGGGATTTGAATCCTAACTCTGGCACCTGTTAGTGGAGCGGCCTCAGGCAAGTCACTTAACACTTCAGAACCTCATTTTCTCCTAGTGAAATAAAGAAAATAGAAGCTACCAGGATGAGTTGTTTTTAGAATTATAAATCATAATCTATGTGAGGTACACACACACACACACACACACACACACACACACACACACATGCATATTTCCCCTAAGGAGCAACTGTTCAGTATTCATTAGTTCAGTGTTCGAGGTGAGTTTATAAGACGTAACTACCATGAGTCACAAAAATGGACTGAGAAAGAGAATCTTTTCTCTCAAGTTATAATGAAAGTTTATTGACAACTCCCAGCATATGTTCAGCGTGGTAGCCCTGCATCACAGAACATAGTACTGAGTCCACAGTACTCAACGTCTTATGGTTGCATGGAGACTGCCGCCTCTTACCAAACTCTCATCTTGTTCAAGCTTGATTCCCACTTCTTCTAGGAGACGGTTTCCCAGTAGGTCCAGCATGTGGCCCAGGAATCTTTATACCTCTAAGGCTCCTTCCAACTTATACATTCCTTGGCTGATGAGGGTGGTTCTTGACCCTGGCTATACATTAGAACCACCTGAGAGGCTCTTAAAACTATTGATGCTCAGCTTGTAGCTCTTACCAATTGAATTAGAAGCTTTGGGGATGGGACCCAGGTTTTTGTCTTTTGAAAAGGCTTCTGAAATGATTCTTATGTAGCCAAGGTACATATCAAGAACTACTGATGTAATATGAACTCTTTCAGATGACATTTTTCTTTTAATGAAGTGACTTTTATGATGGCAGACCATGGGGGTATTTGAGGGGAGTGGTCACAGCAGTCCATTCCCAGGGCCCCTCAAACCATACTGCATTAGATAGCCACTTATTAAGCCTATATGTATTTAAGGGTGTTCCTTAATCTTCAAGTGACCAACTATCCCCATGATTGACTAAATATGTATTAATTTTGGTACCCTTAGACCTTGGCACATGGTGTGTCCTCAATAAATATTTTAAAAGTACTTTGTTGTGACCTAGATAAAGAAAGTAGACAGTCCCTTCAAATGAAACTCTAGTGTTATCGTACTGAAGAC